AGTTATAGCTGCTTACGTTATATATACGAAGCGCTGTACGACTGTTCCTGATTTCGTTTCGGGCGTTACTGGACCTTGTGCACCTTTGGTGTTTGTTTTGACGTGAACGCTAGCTTGGGAGGCTCAGACCGAGAAATAAGCTGAGGAAAATACAGTTACAACAGTAGCCGAGGTTGGCCCTATCTCCATCCTAAATTTGATGGTAGACTCAGTTCATTCAGACAGATGTAAAACTCGGTTCTAATTCTTCCATGAATATATTCGCCAAAACCGCAGATACTGAAGATCCCCTTGCTAGACCTCGTTCTTGAGTCTAAACCACTGAGTCAAAAACGAAGTGGGTGAGATTCATACATGCTTTTACACCTGCCACTATTTCATCTACCGTAAGCTGTGCCCATTCTGAAAGGGTGGTGTCCGCTAGTAGCGATTGCTTGGAAAATTTGTGTATGACAAATCGACATTGAAGCTTCATCTGATTCAACGAATACGCCCACTACTTTTTCGGAAGTCATATGAATTCTCATTGTAAGCACTAGATTTCCCAATGAGGGGTTTTAAAATACCTGCCAAAAATCTGGCCAGCTCACTGGGTGGGGAGCCTATTCCGTCTGCTATCGGTCTCACCGGAACATCCGCTTTATAGATTTTTTGGCAGGCCATAAAGCCGTGGTTGGGTTACACTTTTGGGGTAAAATCGATACAAATGACCTTGCCGTACGTGGTTTATCATGGACCCCGAATATCTGCCACCCTCAGCTTTACTCCTATTCGTTATAGATAATGTTTCCACTATCGATCTGCCGGTAAGGACACCAAGCTAGGTGTTGCTTGAACTTCTGTAGATAATCACTCTTGTTCATTACAACAGTGACCTTACCCTTAGGCGCCTTTGTAATCACTATGTTGTTCAGCTGTTTTAGGGTGTTTTCAGCTCTTCGCTCCGCTGGTGCAATTTTGGATGCTTCTAGCTACTAGGGCTTAAGGACTGTGACCAGGTGTAGCCGTAACTTCTCCGCCTCCAATGACAGAAGTTTTTCGAAACACAGATTCAACGCTAGGGAATATTTCTTCTGCCTCTCATCAACCATGCCCTTACTGCGAAAGTCAAGCCATTTTCTAACAGACAATGATCTTCCTTATTTAGCGGTCTATCTGAGAAATGTGCCACGCTACAATAGCTAATAGGCAGCTCAGGCTTAGTCTTCGGCTCACTAGAAAGCTGAGTCTTGGAAAGAAAATTTCCAAACTTACGATCAGACTCCGAGTCCTCCGTTAACACTGAATTAGTTTTTAAATGACTGTATTTCGCCAACTGCGTACAATTTGGTGTTCAGATTAAACCGTCCAGCTGTAGCACCCTTTCAGCGCCTAACTTCAATGCCACCCGAAGGTTGCACAAGGACGGGGATATTGCCAGGTTGCCCACGACTAGACAGGAGAAGTCGAAAGGCAGAGGTCGGGTTCGAACCACGGACCTTTCGGTCAGTAAATTCGCGCCCTAACCACTTGGACCATCTCGTCCCCGTTCAGGTTAAACACAAGGCTGATGACGAGTCGGAGATGATCCTGCCTGATAAGTCTCAAAAAAGGTGATACCGGTCATGGTCTGTCGAAAAGTTTTCAGCAATCTTATGGATGATGTGTTACGTCAGGAGAATATCGTGACATCATCATGAGAAAAATAGGAATGCACAACGCAGCCGGAACAGGCACTGTCGCCAAACAAAATGAACGACCCGCGATCCATCTAAGGTGTTTACTGCCGTACTGTGTAATTAAAATAGGAAACCAAGCTAAATCTGCCAGAAAATGTTGACGCGCTGGTAAGGTCGGTTGTTCAGCCTGGGTGGCACCTATGGTCCCACTTAAAAAGATAAATGGTTGCGTTCAACTCTGTGATGATAGGTTACTGGTAACTCCTGGACTACGCCTGTCTGACGGGCCCCAAGATGGGCGAAACGGACAGCGGATTGTCGAAGCTCCAGCATCATATTATAGTCGTGTGCATAAATTTCAACAAATGACCGTCTATCCTGAAATGACACCACTTACAAGGTTGGCGAAAACCTTTGGAAAATTCACTATCGGCCTGGTTCTTAGGTTCACCAAAATGAATCAGTCAGTGAAATATGATCGAACTTATTTCATAATCGAATACGAAATTGCATGCATCTAAGTCAAATACTCACTCGCAACCTAAGACAGTATCACCAGCAGAATCAAACGAATACTACTTTTACGGTTCTCGTCAATTAGATGCGCTACATGAAGGTGTCGTCGTTCCATCTGGAAGGATATGCAATACGAGACATTAATTACAGATGATACATCTGTGGCTATGTGTCTTCCAGTTGACTAATGCTCACAAAAGAGCCTGGGAGGATGATACCTAGATAGTATATTAGGTATCACGTCCAAATTACGCTCGTTTGGAAAGTCATCCTCCTGTCCTGGTTCAATTATTCTCGTGAGTCAAAGGGGTGGAGCACTGGATTGAAGTTTTGCCCCTAGTAGAGCTCGTCAGCACCGCATATGCTCGGCTACACCACGGTTTGGAATCTGTATTTCTGATATACGGGGCATATGAATTATCAGTCTGGAAAGATGAACTTGTTCATCATCATCGTCATCATCACCATCATCATCATCGACAGCATGACATCAGTGTTCAACGCCGATGCTTCGCCGTCCTACAACCGTGATTCATTCGAAAGCCTTATTGTGAAGAAAAGAATAAAGGTGGTAGGGGGAGGATCTTAGTGCTAGCTTATTACAATCTTCAGAGGTTGCCTACACCTCCAGACACTCATTCAGGCAGTCTGGATAAAAACTGACAACAAAATAGCCACTGACATCGGTTCACAGTCATATCTTGCAGCGTCTCCAATCAGACGCAGTGAAGATCACGCGGTCTCCATCCTGGAAGGCGAGCTAGTTCACGTTTGGGTGATTTGGTCGGTCTTCTTAACGACCCAGTAACTGTCCTGGTTGTGCCGATCGAATGACCCTCTTGTAAGGACTTCCAAGTCAATCAGTGCGATGGACACCCGAAACCTGTTAGACGATTTCTGATCAGTTGTAGGTGGTTGCTGGATTCGAGATCGACCACATTCTCCCACAGGGCATCATTAGCTCACTAGATAGAGAGCTAAGGGAGGCTGATTGTGATTCTAGACATTTTTATGAACATCGAAGTTATCTACGTCGAAAAGGAAATCGCCAGCTAGTGTTTTTAGGACGACTATCCTGGAGCAGTGCCGATGACTTTCGACCAAATAAGATCAAAGTTCCCTATTGGAACAACAGTTTGCTCCTTGCCAGCTTAACAAACATCGCAGCTTTTACAAAAGCGACGTTTGTGCATTCCAATTTCACGGATGGATTACCATATGTACCAAACAAAGAGCAAGGCACTTACTCAGCCGCCAAACCTTCGGGTCGTTGGTCATTTTACTGGACTGTGATGAACTTCATTAGTAAGTCTTTTGTTACTGTTCATAAAAAAACAGGTTACAAGGGAGTAGACGAACAGGATGATTTCTTAAGGTCCGAGCAGGCAGTGAGACCAGGGATTTTGAGGAGCACTGTCGTGTGGAGAACTAATACACTAATCCACACATCTCTTAGTGTGGACACACTACAGTCAACCACTCCCGATATCCTGCGAACTCTAAATGTTTATGGGTTACTACACATAAGGAAGTTCCTCCTACTGAAAATACCATCTGAAAAACTTCTTCTGAGTAATGGTCCATTCCGAGAAAGAACCAGTGAGAAATACATCGACCTAATCGATGCATCCAATCCATCGATGTAGCCAATCGATTTCCCCCGATTTAAAATAGAGATAAACACGCGCACCCAAATTCATAACTCCTGTTCAGGTATGAATATCTGTTGGTACTAAAAGTGGCTTTATGTCCGGCACCGAAAGCGCTAACGCGAAAACAACACTTGGAAAATCGCCTTTATCAAATACGAAATGAAGATTATGCTCTTTGGAATGACAGTTACCTAGTCACTTTATTATTGCAGGGTCTAAAAATAGAAAACTTGCAATTCATAAAAACTGATCCCGTGTAAACAGGATGAGGAATTTCTCGACTAGTTCCACTTTGGTCAGAAACTACTGGGTGGTTTACGCGGGACATGCGTAGTGGTTGAATTTTTGGCCAATTTTGGTAAGAATTCGACAAAATATGCCTCAAAAAGTGGTCAGAAGAAGGACACGATCTCCTCAGGGTATTAAAATTCAGTAACCAACGGTGACCTATTTTGTGGATGGGTGTCTCTCCAAAGATTACAACTGCGTATGTCCTAGCCGCTGTACACCCGTTCGTATTACGTACGAAAGAGGAACGTGACTAAAGAGCTAAACAAGACACATACCTTTGAAGATATCCCACTGAAGGTCGGAGCCGTGAAATACTTCATTCAAGATTTGTTTCGTGCTCGTACTCGGTTCCACGAACTCACGCAACGACCTCCCAACAAGAGCGTCCTGCATGGGTGGAAATCAAAATTTGGGAATTGAGCAACACTTCCAGTGTGGAAGTATGTAGTTCGAGTAATAAAATCGGTATTATTTCAGATTCCATTCCACATTTAAAAGCGACGTGCTTAACATCAACATCATCATTTAAAGAACACCATCAGTATTCAGAACTGATGTTTTCCTGCCATAAAAAGGAAATCTAATTGAAAGGCTTCTTGTGAAGATAGGATGATTGACAATGGTGATGATGAGATTATTCAGCTGTAACACTTCCGGCACCTAGCTGCCAATCCACCCGAAGGCTGCACGAGGACTGGGATACTGGCAGGTTGCCCAAGCCTAGACAGGGGAAGTCGAAAGGCAGAGGTTGGGTTCGGGCCTTCCGCTCAGTAATATCGCTCTCTAACCACTTGAGCCATCTCGCCCCCGACGACGATGATGATAAGTTGGTCCTAAGATGAAAGCAACAGCGACGGAACGTGACGGAAAGAACTGAACACACGCATGTGTTGTTTCTTGGTCAGCGCCATAATGGCGCTTAGTCTGATTTTTGTGATGATGCACATTGTACAGATCGTTAAGTGTCGACAATGAGTCCGATGCATCTTCGGTGTACCGAAGGTTTGCTTTAGTGACCGAGCTAAGTATCAGAGAGTCACCAGACGTAAGCTTGAGTTGACAAATGAAAAATAGGAAGAAAAAACATCCATGACACACTATTGGGTGTATAAATTATAGTAACCCTATTTCACTGTCTCCATACTAGGCCCAATTGTCACCATCGCCATCCCTCGCGCTCAATGAAAATTTCACAAGGCTTCCCGATAAGCTTGTTATGCAAGGATGTCAGGTAGGATAGACTTCTAATAAGATAGACCATAAAAGTATGGCAAGGAGTGCGCCTCGACCTTATGAAGACAGTCAAATATTATGAAGGCCAGCAGCAAGAACCTACCAACGGAAAGTCAAGGATCTTCTCCACGTTTGGGTGGATTCGGAGGATTTTAGTATCAGAGCACCGAACGTGAACATCAAACCCTTCAAAATTCTACAGTGGTAATCGAGAAAGATGCGGTGTCTCAAATGGCTTACCTGCGTAATGAGATGTGAATATTCTTCATCGTTTATGATGTATTCACGTTTCCCAAGCTTGTCTAATTCGTATTAAGGTAAACAGATTTGAAACTAACCAGTGTAGTGAATTAGTCGTTCAGCCGCAGCTTGAAAGATAGATAGCTTGTCTCTGTATTGAGAGCTATGGACTTGTTTACGTAGAAATTCCGTATCCCGTTTCATACGCTCCCGGCGCTTGCGCTCAATTTCACTGTGGCTCTCCCTGTTTTAGGATATAGATACGAAAAGATAAATGAGGCACCAAAGACCGAAAAAGTTATAGTGTGAAGTGACATTCGTCACAGTTGAAACTCACCTTTGGGTCTTGTTACTGCGAGAAGTTGTGGACATTCGGTCTTTTAAGTATGAGACAAAGAAGAACCACACGATAGCAGTGTACTAAAAAGAAATACATTGAGTATTATCATTGCAACAATAAAAATTGACAAAAGGGGAGAAACGACTGGTTAAGCAGTCTTAAAGATATCGAGCAACAGCTACATAGCTGTTAGTCAAGCGGCCGAGAAGTGACCAGTTGAAGGAAGATTGTAGGACGGACAAACTGCAAGCTGGGGAGATGAACCATACACCTTGGCTGACTAGAACCCGGTGACTTTTCGGAAATGATATAAAATGAGGCGGTAATAATTGCTAAATGATATGTGTAGTTTGGTAGGCTGAACGTTCACCAAAGATTCATAGAATAGCGCAGTGCGGAACATAAAACGTCACCATACCTTCGACCTGGAAGGCACACCTGGAATTCGTATATTGAAGTGCGATACCCAAGACGCCACTTGGAATATGCAATACCTAATAATTTGCCGGGAAGTTCAGATTCCTGAAAATAATCCCAGAATGCCCGGAACCTGCAGAGACCCACAAACTCTACCAAAATCGCAGCAGGGAAGACGTCAAGTATCCGGGCCAGGAAAGCCAGCTGCCGATTGGACGGTCGGGGGAGCCAAATAATTCAACAACGGCCGACGATGATGAGCGTTCACCCAACGCCGATCGGACAGCCTGGATTCAAGGTCAAAAGAGCGCCCTTTGTTACTTTTGTTCTTGTTTGTTCCTTGTTGGTGAGTCGTTTTCCGATACCAAGGCACTGGAGCGGGGACAGCAGTTAGTTACAACATAATCTTTGACAGCAATTTGCCCTAGATGAAGAAGGATATTCTGGCAATCACCGATAATACGCTCATCAAAGACGACTCCCGGCGTACAGGAACCGCAAACGGTAATTGCAGACACCTGGAAAGTTGGAGGGTTTCGGCATGACAGTTCTGTCAAATACAGCATGCCAATCCGATCAGTGAACCCTGAGGTTTCATTGTGCTGCAAAAAGACATACGAAACAAGGAGAGGCTGCAGTGGCAATCGGTTCCTCAAAAGTAATTGCAACCTGCTCATTATCATTACCATAATTAACTTCAACAACAATAACACTGCCATATAACCGTGTCCATTTATTTGAATGAAGCCTTATAATGTGCAGAAGAAATGGGACAGAGAGGGGATCCAGGGCTATCGTACCACAAACATCCCAAGTGCCCACACCTCCAATACTCATTCAGACAACCCGGTAGGAACTGAACATGAACGCCAGTCACATCGCTTTGCCGCCATATCCTTCAGTGCCTCCGGCCAATTACGGAAAGGTTCACGTAGACCCCATTCCGGACGGCGGACGTCATCTAAACTTTTCTGTCACGTCAAATTCTGGTCGTTGGCCTGTTCGCTGAGCTGGGCAATTTGATTGCAAACGTTTCATCACCAATCGAGGTGACATCATCAGTGCGTTATTGTGGAGCATAGGAGTGCGTAGCGGTGGGTTGGTGGTTCCTCTATAGAAAACGTCAAATTCTGTCCACCTCGAGCTTTCCGCCACTCCTTACTAGGCACGGAAAACGGAGCTCGCATCGGCAGCTGGTAACTCAGCATTCGTACCACATGCCCTAAACAATCAGATTTCAAAACTTGATGTGTCATTTCACGCATGCCCCGGCCAAGCCTCACAGTAGTACAACAATAGAACCCACAACGTAATCTGATACACGTATCCTTTGAGACTCATTAAGATGCCTTTTTGATTCCACAAGCGGCACGAGTTCGCAAAATCAACCTGGGCCTCTGGGGTTCGCGCGTTGACGTCACCTGTTACTTCCCTCAGAACTAATGCAACTTCTGAGATGATGATATGTTTCACAACCTCCAGTGTTACTTTTTGGATTTCCAGACATGTTCAAAGACTGCACCTTCTACAGGATGGTTTTGCACTTTGTGGGCACGAAGCACATGCCAAAGAACTGGATGACATCGGTCCGTTTTACTTGCACTTTCTACTCTTCTTCAAAAATGAGAACAATGTCATATGCATATCCCATACCAAGGTTCTTACTCGAAGGGGTCCAGTGTTTACCTCGTTACTTCACCAATAATTAAGTCAAACCGAAGTGGTGAGGGAGCATTGTTGTCGGACATCTGTGCTAGTGAAAAAAAAACTTTGGAAGAGCTCCCCATTACACTCTAACGCGCCCAGAAGTATGGGTACAAACAGTACATGATATTCATGAACTTCTGCGGCATAAACTGCTGCGCAAGCGTGTTGAAAAGAGCTAACTGGTCGACAGAATGGAACGAACTACTGAAGTCAAGGAACACCATGAAGTTAGGACGCCTATACGCATGATGTTGCTTCAATACCTGACGGCATGTGAAGTTGTGGTGCACGCAGCGCTTTCCAGCTCGGAATCCTGCTTAGTGTTCTTGGGTCTGGTCTCACAGTGCCTTCGCAAGACACCGAGATCCATGCTGGTTGCACTGCTCCACACGGGTATCGCCCAGTATTTTGCGGACAGTACGTTCCAGTATGAGACATCAGAAGATGTGTTGTCCGAAAGAGATCTAAGTAGGTGGATCTGGTAAGCTTGTTTCACATCAAGGTCCGACAGCTTCTCAATGAGCACCTTACGCATAGGTGCTCCAGAAGGAGCGACAATCAGTAATCGACCCATATTACCTACCTAGGTTGTAGGTTAGCTCGCATACGCCGAACGCCATGTCACCAAGCATCCTCGGTTATTCCGGAAGTGAGTACCACGCAGAAACAGCTTGTGGACAGCACATAACTGCAGCAGGCACCCGTCGTTGTCTATCGCCTCGATTCCAGTTCAAGACGACCACCCAATTGGGCCTCAGTAGCACTGTCTACCTACTTGGACATTCATATCTCCGGCAGCCACGAAGATCATGAGCTCACCATAAAAGGGCGCTCAAATGTCGTACAAGCTGTTTTTGAGTGTATCAGGTCTACAGTAGGTTCGGGTCGTAGGTGGATACGATTAACGGACAGCGATCATCGGCGCATTTACGGGATACTCTCACAGACGTTACTAAACGAACTACACAGAGGCAACTATCAACAGACAAACATTCACCCAAGTACCCTTAAGCTTGATGTCTTAGTACAACGCATAGCACAAAGGATTATGGATGTGCACAATCCATCAGCCCGTGGTGAGTTTTGGTCGCTTCATGACGGTGGATACCAGATGCAGCTGGTTGATTTGTGCTTGTTACTAGGTACGAGCCTTTATGTTGGAAATTCATACGGGCCGGAAACATCTGATGATCAGCGAACAACCAGGGGTCGCTTGCAGTTAACAGAGGAGTCAGCAACCATTCCTAATTAGACATGATCCGCAGAGCTCGGTCGAACGCCTTCGGTATCTCCATCATCATTGTAAGATCCGGGCGGTCATAGATCTCACAGGACGATTGCGGCTATTAGATTATACGCAGTTCGTAGCCAGTAGACAGTAGAAGCAGACGGACGTGGGTAGCAGATGATGAGGAGAAGAAGATGAGAACTGACAGGAACTGGTTTTACAGACAAACAGGTTAGTAAGCATCATGAATTAAGTAAACGTACAATCAATAATGATGCAATCAGCAGGAGCGGAAAATAGTCACTGAAAAAGCAGGGATTTCTAGAAATAACAAGTAAGCACTAAACTATGTAAAAACGTACATATACGGGCAGTCTGACAGTGTGAGTTGGCTGTATAAAGGCTAACGGCACACAAAATCAGGATGTCCGGGATGTGAAGGACTGTCTTTCGGTTGGCGGCGCGACGCGTGTCACTTGACAAGTCAGATTGAGCAGTTTCGTCAGTTTAAAACACTCGCTATCTGGCAGGCACATAGGTAATAAAAATAGAAGACTATGGTTGTCAGGTTGGCGTAGCGGGCAGCGCGTTCGCCTACCGTCCGGGAAGTCTGGGTTCGGTACCCGCTCGGTCCGCTTTTCCGTTGGAGTGGGCGCTCGAAAATAGGTACAACCGAGACGAAGCAAGCAAGCGACGGAAGGGCGACAAAATATCGACATCAGTTACTAAAGAATAAGCAGACCCTAAGTAGGAACTGGACAAGGAGGAGAAACGAGCAGCAGCGGTATCATAATAAACGGGCGGAGGTCACGTTACTCATGAGTAGTCTGAAGACAGGGAAATTTATCGCTTTTCACCGTTGATTCACAGCGGGAATCAACAATCATACCATACATCATTCATATCAACTGAAAGGATGATAGCCAGTTTTTTCTAGTCAGCGCATATAGCTCTGGGTGCAAGGTACCTTTTTGACGTCAAAGTATAGACTGACCGTAAGAAGACACTGGTTTTCGCGCCATCCAACTTGACTGAACGTTCAAGGACAACTTTATTTGAAGTCAATCCAGCAATGCGCTTAGCCCTGGTGGTCAGCGCAACTCGCTCATATATATATATATATATATATATCCATTTGATGATTAGCCTTGCGGAACACTCCCACACACATGGCAGAACGCTTTTGCTCCACATGCCAGCCCGCACCAACGCTCTGAGGCCGTTTAGCCATGGCGCACTCGTCACGAGTATCGAAAATTCTAGTCCCACCGTCTCATTGACAACTGCAATTTCACTTCTCCTCCGCGACTTGCCACTACCAGCGTCTGTATGCTGTTTGCCTGTTCGAATTTACTGAGCTGTCTTTACTGGCCTTAATTTCAACCGACC